GCAAATTACCTTGAAGGAGTTTGAAGTGGCAATTGTGCCAACGGCCCCTGCCCACATGCCCCGCCTTACTGTATTTGCTTTGACACCACGACACAATATACCGCAGTGATCACCAGCATACACCTGAAATAGAGGTTCGTAAAAATTCGGACTGGAAAAATGAAGGTAGGATTCCAAAGCTTTACAGTTAAAATACTAATTTTTCCTGTCAAAATTTTAAACATTCACAAAAACTACAACAAGACTTTACATAAAAATCTGCTTCGTTTTGCAGTGAAATCTGCGGCAGTTTACCACAATAAATTGTTAATTACTATATTTTGCTTGGTTACTTGAGCAACTGTCTGAGCAACTCTCCCTGTCAATGCAGCTGGCAACTTCTCCATTCGATTCAATACAGCGCTCTCCGAGTCCACGCGGTACCGTACAGGCGTACCATGGGGTCTCTCTACCTCACTGGTGGTCTCGCCAGTATTCGCTTGACCGTGCTCGGGTACTATTCCACTATCCCCTTCGTCCATCTGTTATCTGTCATCCGTGCCGCATGACCGGCCCAGTTCTTCTTGCTGGCGCACAATGCTTCTATAATGTCTTCTTTTTCATGCCAGATTTGGCTTGGAACACTGCATCGGGAATGTGCTGCAGCCTGTTGGCGCCAACCATCCGCCGCTCCATTGCTCTTTGAGACACTGTCAATCTCCATTCCTCAGTAAGCGTGGTTTTCTACGTCTTACACCCATATGGTATGACTGGCAAAACAGTCAAATTGTACAGCTTTTGCAAATGAAGTGATTTTTTTTGTCGCAGAATATGTCGCTGAACTTGACGAAAGTTACCCACCCTGCTCTTATCGTTCTCACTATTTCAATGCCCAAGTCGTTGTTCATCTGCACTGCTTGTCCCAAGTAGGTATAGCTGCCCACAAGTCTAACAGAGTTCTTATCCAGCTTCATGTCGAACCGTGAGCAGTACGCATTCTTCATCCACTTGGTTTTACCGATGTTAACTGCGAGACCGACTTTATTTGTCTTCGCCACGAGCTCGTTTAGCAGATTTTGCAACGACTGAG